AAAACGATTATCGAGTGAGGGTAGGTGACAAAGTGAAGACGTATCACGTAAATATGTTAAAGTTGTATGTTGAGCGGGAGACGTCACCTACCTGACTACCTGAACTTTTGAACAGTATAGTAAAATGTTATTCGTTTATGATTATATTTCATATTTTATTATATTCTACTGTATGTGATTTTCGAATTTATGTACTTAGAGCTTTATTCAGTTCGATTTGATATATTGTATTGTTTTATTTGAAATTGTTATCATATTCGTATTATTTACGTCGTTGCTAGTCATGTAGTATTATGTTATAATATTCTTGAGAGGGGAGGCATGTCGCATACGACTTATTTACCACTTCCGTGTCACTGAGAATGTTCTAGAACCGTACTGTGTCTGGGTGGAATATTCTATATTTTTTTAGAAAATGGTTGAATAGGTAATAGAACACTGTAGGAGGCAAGAAGGTAATGGAACATTCTAGAAATTTGAAATATGTATGCTGATGTAATGGTCTATTTATAGACAGTGTGGGTATATATAGGGGAGTTGTTCAGCACTGAGATCAGATTGGATCGGAGATCTCGTTGAATTGTATTGGAGTTTAAGTATCTAGTTATTGGAGTAGTGGAGTTTTACCGCGTTATTGTACTTGATGTTTGCAGAGTATAATAATACCAGTACCAGTTGAAACCTCATCTGTTGGCTCAGTGTTCGTATGTTATCATCGCCGCCAGGGAAGTCTTTCTGTTACTGTTGCCATTTTGGTATTTGAACCATCACACCTGTACTATACCAATTACGGTAATATTACGTTGCGTGTGACATAATGACTGTCTAATCTATGGCCAAAGTAAGTCTCATTTTCCTAATCAGTGTATATATATATATATTTTTTTAAATATTTTGTGCTCTTCTATTGTATCTACACTGTATATAGATACCTGGTCTGTACATGTTGTTTTATGAATAAATGTTTGTGTTGCTAACAACTTGTGTCTTAAATTCTAAATGAGGAAATGAACACACATAAGTTTAACAGTATTACATTTTTAATGGAAACCGGCATACGAGGCGACCATAAAGGTGCTTGTAAGTCTAGATATGCTCATTAGATCTTTTGGAGTCGCCTCTCTTTTTGACTCTGCATGAACGTGGGTAATCATTATAAATTTGGAATACGATCAATGTTTATGATTCCAAATCTGCAACAACAATTTTTGATCCCCTAAAAGCCAAACACACTGGATCTTGTCAGGTGCTAACTGTACACTGACGATTGGTTTGACGGTTTCAGACAGGTTGGTACACTGAAATGTAGATGAAAATAAGTGATTTTGTCCTTGAAAAATATAAGAGCAGAAGTCACCGCCTCCCATTGAAATAAAAAACCTGACGGCAAGTACAAATGACCAAGCAAAAATCCCACAAATTTGTTGTAATAAATAAATGTACAAATATCAGCACCATTTCAGAAAATCACTGACTTGTAAATAAATACCCCCCTGATTCACATGTACAGACAAATTTTATGTAAAATTTTTGCGTGACTCCATCTCAAAAGCACAAAACTAATGCTTATTTTGCATACCGCCGCCGTTTTGGGAGTAGGATGCAGTCTATGTCAGCATTGGCCACTGGTCCTTGGAAATTACTGCCATGAACGCGTAGTTGGTTTGAACTTTTCATCCTCAACACATTGGCAGTCTGCCCAAACTGAAGTACAGATGGAGCCTCATCCCCCCCCCCCTTTCATATGACGCTGGTTGCCGAAGTAGGATTCCAGTGGGTCCTGGTTAAAATGCTCAGACAACACAAACTTCACACCAGGTTGTGACAATAGATACTTCGTAACATCAACAAATGAATTCACTGTAAAAGAAAACAAGAAAGTGTACAAAATAAATACGGCATCAGAAGCAATTCTTTTTCATGCTAAATATATACACAGTAAATGTCATCCAATTTACGAAGTTTGTTTGTATCCTATTTTGGTTTAAGAGATTTACTACAGAGATTTTTCGGCAAATGTATTTTGTAAATGTGGGTGTGGAAATCTGATTTCCAAAATTTCAAAAACAGTTTTGTTTATTCAGGCAAGAAATTCAGACTTAACCCTTTGAGTGACATAATTTTACCAGCCTCTATTTTGGTGTATCAACTTAATATTTGATAATTTTGGACTAAATGGACATAATTTCCTGTTACTTGATCACAATTTGAAAAATTGGATGTGGATTTTATTTGTGACATTTTTTTTTTTATTTTAAAAATTTGAGAGAAAAAAAAGCATCAATTTTGAAAAATAATTTGACCAGAAACATTTTTTTGGCCTAACAGCTTTCATGACAAAGTCATTGTTTCACAAATATAACTAGCATAAAATTATATAAAAAAAACTTACCAGTCATGAAAAGGCCATCAACAATCTGCTTACTTAGTTGCATTTTATTCTTCTCATTCTTTGAGTAATCCTCTCTGGCATTCACAAGATCAGACCAATCAGACAGGTACCTCAGGAAATTTTCCTGCAGCCACTATAGAAAATATAAAGTAAATTTATTGAAGAGATGATCTTATGCAGAAACTGACACGGCAGAATTTTTTCTTAAGTTTTGAACAATATTTTTGGGGGCAAATCGTACAAATATACACACTTTAAATCTTTGGTCATCAACTGTCCTGTATCGATGTAGGTCATCTTTTCTCTTCTTGTATCCCTCCACCATTGATCGAACATTCAGGCAGTCAAAAAATTGTCTAAATACTTGACAAATTTGACTGTTGGAGCAAGTCGGACACAATTACCAACAAACGTGGAGATAGCGTTGGCTACGGTGGTGCATACATACATACATACAGATTAAACGTGGTTCAGTTCAATTGAATACATGCTATCCAGTTAAGTATCATCACACACACATTACAGCAAACCCCACCCCCCTCAACAAAGTAAACCAGTGTAATTTAAAAAACATCAATACTAACAGGCAACATTTCTGGCAGTGCTGGTAAATCCAGATTTCATTGTGCTGCCAGTTTATATCCTAGAGAGGACACCGGACATCAATAAAGAAACATATCTTGTAATTATACCTGGGCTGCATATTTCACCTTCATTCTTGAGAATGATGTTAAATGTACATGTTCATATTTCAGCTTGTGGCATAGAAACGATCCTCTGTCCAAGTCTGCTTTGTACAAGTCTTCCACACTATATAGTCACCATTTTAAATTGACAAATATTTTGAATAATTATCCAATAAAACATTACGAATTATGCAGATGAGTGAATAATAAAATATATTAAATACATTTTGTGATTTAAAGATAGAGACTTACCCATAATAGCCTTTTTTTGTTGTGTGATCCAGAGTTGGCTCAGAAATTCCTCGTTGTCTTAATTTTAGGTGTGGCACATCTGACATGAAGTACATCAATCTATCTTCTTCTTCTTCTTCTGCATATGGATTTAAGGTTTTGTACGTCACTTCATCGTCTGGTACTCCATACAGTTTATAAAATCGTCTATTGGGAGAAGCACCATCTGATGTAGAAACTAGCACCTTAAAACCATAAAGTTCAAGGATCTCAATTGCTTCATGCACCAGTGGGTATAGGTAGTCGGAGGTAATCGACGTTGTGGCAAAATGAGCCAGAGGGTAATTCAGCCAAATACATATGCCACGTACCATAAATACCAACATGTATTTAGCTATAGTAGGCTTTGTAGACTCATCCTGGAGATTCTTTTCAAATTTCCTTAGAGAATTATTGAAATTTCCAATATCAACAAAGCCAACTAGTTCACCATTGGTTTTGTCATATACTAGGTGATCTTTGATTTTCACCTCATCGTGTAGAAGTACCACATACTTCTGATGGTTTTCAAGTTCGGTGAAACCACATTCTTGATAAAGTTGCTTCATCACATCGGCAGTAAACCCATTACCAGATTTTGTCCAGTGGGTGTAATCTGCAAGAGTTCTTTCACTTGGCAAGTGTAACACACCAGACTCTTTCATGGTCCTGTATACTGCTGATGACCTTAATGTAATGTTAAGACACCATTTGATGAACATCGAGTGGTATCGCATTCCACGTTTATTGGAGCAGTTCAGTGCCTTCATCTGCTGGTCCCAGAACAGTCGTTGAAATGTTCCTTCAGGATATTCTTTCTTGACTGCAGACTCGCTGTCATTTGCTAAAGTCTTGATACTGTCAGACATTTCATGATTTAAAATAATCCCATTTTCACTAATGCTGGTCTTCAGCAAACTCTTGAAGAATTGAAGAAACAGCGTCACACTGCTCATGAGTGAAGTCGGAAACCTCAGGTGTTAAAGACTGAGAACAACTGTTTCTTCCCTTAGACGCTTCTTTCTTTTTTCTGTGATAATTCTTCGGACGATATTCAAAACCGTACTTATATGGCATGTTGATTTTTTGTAAAATTACAACAACAAAAAAGAGAAATAGTAAACTTAAATTAAAAAAGAGCAATTGTTGATAAATTAAAAATAATAAAATATTCGAAAAAAAAAGTTCTTTGATATTAACAAAATATTGCATACTTACATTTTAAGTTTAAAACATACTCCAGATGTCACACTGACAGTAATATATTCCAAGGAAGCAATCTGAAATGAAGGACAATTACAGAAACATTATTAAAATTAGTTTGTACATAATGTAATTCAGCATTTACGTATTTATGAGCAGAGGCTGTGACATTTAATAGTTGTTGCACCAGTACATAAACAGCCGGTATAAAAAGAACAGGGCAGCAAAGCTCATGGCCCAATTACTAATAGCCCCATAAAAAAAATTCCTGACAATATATACGCAGAACCAGGGAGATTGAGTGGCGTTTTTTTACTGAAAATTATCAAACAGTTGTAATAAATGGACTCATACAAAAAAACGTTTTTAATTGATGTCGACCTCATGCATGTGGATAAAATGGATGGACAACGCAACGTCTCAAATCATGTGAAATAGTAAATAAACATGGCGATGGCGGAAGGCAGCATACGGTCGCTAATTTAAGTCATTCTTTCAAAAGGTTACAGATTATTCACCAAAATACCACCTATTAATGCGACCGCAAACACCTAATAAATATTTTTTGATCAATTTTATAGGCGTCGCGTCTGTGATTGTGGAAAAAATGGGTGGACAGACATGTATGTCGTATCGACGGTCAAAATGGCGATCGAAATAAAACACCACCGTATACATTGAGACACCAGGGAGAATGACGGTCGTTTTTTCAGAAAATTGCCAAACATTTGTAATAATGCCGCATGTCAATGCGAGCACGGGGACATACAGAAATCATGGTTGGACAACGCAACGCCTTCAATCGAATATAGGGTCAATCAGTGAACATGCCTGGGGTGACATAACATTGATTATGTCATCGTCACAAAATATTGATTCCAAGGCGTAACTAGATGTACAAACACTACCAAATACGTATCTTATATGAATAAATACCCAAAGGAAAAATGCGTTATTGACAAAAACTTCGGAGCTTGCGAAAATGCGTTCGACAGGATGTAGTGCTGAGACTAGACTGATAAGGAGACACGACGTACACGCAGCTGATGACGTCATCCGGATGTCGAGCACACAAGATAATTAGTATGCAAAACAACAGCGCACACTTGATTAATAAACATCCTTTGTTGTCTCGTGTTGTTTCCTATCCCTTTGTTGAGGGTCTATGCTTTGACCAATATCATTCAAACTTGGCATACAGAAAATGTATGATGACCTACTTATGCACGCCTATTTTCATTATGATTGCTAAATTCTGATATTCAAACGTGTCCGGAATTGTTTCACGGAGCTGAACAAGGTGATTTCCATCAAACTTTGTATGGTGATCATGCATATTGGGTTATAGGTGCGTGTCATTTTTTTTCGAGATTCGGCCCAAGATGGCTGACTGACGACCATTTAGTTTTTTTCCGTTTTTGTACTGATTCCTCTATAAGATATGGCCTGATTCAGTTCAAAGTTTATACATAGGTACTATACTTCAAGATAACAGGACACCATATTTTGTTTTGAGATTTGATTAAATTTGTCAAAATGGTGGTCATTTTGTCAAAAAAACGTTCATTCTGTAACATGTCAGGAACTGTTTCATGGAGATGAACAGGGCGATATCAATCAAACTTTCTATGGAGATCATGCAGATTAGATTATGGTGCAAGCCATATTTCTTTTGGAGATACTTGAACAACAATACCCGACTGGCTGCGTTTTCCCTTCATGTTATTTCCTCTGTAAGATATAGTCCAGTTCAGTTATCTGTAACAATTGTAATTTGATGGCATATTGCCAAATAATTCATTCATTTTAGCGATCAATAGAATTTGTCAAATGCATCTTGAATAATGTGTTGCACTATATAATGCATATTAAAAAAAGTATAATGCATGATTCTTTAATAATTTCATTGTGTTTTAGAACTGTAAAGACCTACCTCTGTTGTTATACTTATTTCGACTATCATCAAGTCGTTTGACTATTAGAAGTTTAAAGCACCTATTAGAACCAATGTTCAGTGACCTTGCGTCTGATAGTAAAAGATTTGAGTCAGATGTCAGTATTTATGAAATATCTCCGGGTGGTATCAGGTGAGTTCTGAGTTGTAATAATGAAACGTTTATAAATGCCTATAAATGATAACCGACACTCCAAAATCCCTCCTCCCAGAAATTTAGTATATACTAAAATATCAAATACAATATATTTTTAACTTGTTCTTAAGTACTACATTTACAAATATGTTGTATGTTTGTTTTCATTATTCTACAATTCAAATTTTCAGGTAACAACAGAGGCAAAATTAGTCTTGGTGATATATTGAAGTTTGTCACTGGGACGGACAGGACATCGTTCCTATCCACAGCTAATACGTGTATCAAAAGATTGATGTTGCCAAGGCCAACTATTGAAACTGAAATGTTAACAATCAAACAAATGCACAACTTATATGACTTAGCATTTGCAAACTAGTTTTTTGGTATTATGTAAATTGCTTGAGTATTGCTCTTAGAGTTTACCACCCATTGATTACATTCATAAACTAAAAATGTAATCCACTTGTGATATCTTGATTAGTTGATATCTAAATTAGTCATGAAATCTGTAGTGGCTCGTTATATCTAGGTCAGTAGTGATAACTGTAAATGTAAGTCACTTCAATACGTGATATCTAAATTAATAAACCGGTAGTGATATGTTTAGGTCAGATTTGATATCTGAAGATTCATGCATGTCATAAGTCACATTCATAATTAAGTTTTGACAGTTTGCTGATTTTTAGAAATCGTAAAATGGAAGTACTGGTCAAACATACGATAAGCAGTTTGGGAAAAGTTCGGGAAAGTATGCCCTCTTGCGGTGAATCAGCGGTTAGACAACAACGTAAAGGCGAATTGACATCGTATACTTGTACCATCACATCTTATAATGACGTACTCATATCGTATAAAGGTAGTATATTCACATCATTCAAAGATATGTATTCATCGTATAAAGCTATGTTCACATTGTATAGTGGCGTATTCACATCATATAAAGGTATATTCACATCGTATAAAGGTATATTCGCATCGTATAAAGGTATATTCCCATCGTATAAAGCCATGTCCACAACTTATAAAGCTATGATCACATCGTATAAAGGTAAAAGCACTTAATATAATATTATATGCACATCGTATATAGATGTATGTACAGTATATGATAAATTAAGCGGTCCACATAATATACTACATGATATTAAGACAGGCAGGCAGTCTGTGCTTGTCTGGTCAATACTTGATCGACCAATGATCTTTACCGGTAATGTGTGCTGAAGATTGTTTATTTGAGATCCCAGTGTACATAGTTCTGTTATTTTATTGTTTCTATTTCGCCATTTCTCCGACCATAATTAACCTTCAAAACACGTTGATGCTGCTTGCAGTGATGTTTTATATTTGTTAACCAATTTACCATTGTAATGCTATTTATATTTCAGAGGCTGGTTGTGGTAAGAGAAAAAAAAGTGGTGAAGCCAGAAAAACGAAAAAGTGCTCAACTGAAGGTTTGTTTGTTTCACCCAGATGCGAAATACTCTGAAAACAATATATTTTGTGACTCAAATGAAATAACTCAGCAAACCATCTATTTTTACCATATGAACAGAATCTGCAATTTATGCATTTTCAACACATTCCTACGAATTTTATGCATGGTCACAAATTTACAAGAAGCAATCACAATTTCATATTGTCATACGAAAATACTAGAAAGATTGGCATAGTCAAAGGCTGGAAAAAATGCTATTGATCGTCAATCCCTGGCCATATCAAGCGGAAGAAGGCTATAAAAAAAAGCAGAAGCTTCGAATTGTGAAGGAAGGGATTGGAAGAAAGTGGCACGTGAAAACCAGGAGAGTAGCATCTGATTGTGAGGCAAACATAAAACTGCACTGTTTAATTACTTATGTGTTCAGCTAGGTACTGTCAGGTTTAAAATGCTGCATTGTAGAACTGCTGATGGGTGTAGTATTTGGCTAGGTACATTTGGCTGTGTTTAGCAGCTATTTAGCCACGTTCTTTGTAGTATATGTATCTAATATCTCGTTAATGTGCTTTCATATTAAATAAAAAGAAATGAACTGTTAATTTGAGTTTTTTCTTATTTACTATATTCATTAAAAGATTATAGCGGGAGGATCGTCACATGCGCACGCGCGGGAATTGAGTTCAAAGCGACGATAACACTTCACGCTAAAAAGCAAAGGTTCATGGGTAGACGCTTGTTTGTAAACACTGACACGCTATGGCCATCTGACGCATGCGCAGGTGACGATTTCCCACTTTATGGTTTGATATAAACTTCAGGAAACAAGCTGAACAGAATTTTCTCGAAATTGTGATTAAAGTTGAAAATAACACATAATATTGTTTTGAAAATTCAGCCAATAGTAAATATAATAGTTATACATGAGCCAAAATGGTATACAATTAAAATCACAAACAACTGGTAACTTTGCATATAATAAATTGGCTCTGATACTTATGATTCAAAATACTACCTACAAATATTACTTGATCACCATCTGTCAATTTAACTGTTGTTCTATGTTAATTACTTCATAAATCCTCTCTATTGTATTGGTGGCCCAGAATTTAGCATAATATTATGGCACCGCAATCCACTT